ATTCAGCTGCGGTACATTTGCTTTGTCCCATGGTGCACTGCCTTAATCACACTTTACAACTTATTTATGGATTAATATGTGTTGTCTCTATTATATCCATGGGCGTCCGAAGCATTTTGAATGTGGGGGGAGGGGGACACACTGGCATAAAATTAAAAGCGCATATTTTATGTTAAATGTGGGGGGGGGTCCAAATGAATAAAAATGGAATGTGAGGGGGACACGTCCCCTTCAGATTTAATGGTGGCGACGCCCATGATTATATCAGGTATCGACCATATATAATATGGATACAGCGTACTAATTAATAACTTAGAAAGTTAATCTGAAAATGCAAGGGGTGTGCATTGTCCCCCAGAGTCCACTGATCAAGGCACACTTCATAGGACATGGCTGTCTCATTTTGTTTCAGAGCTGTTAACCCCTTATAGTGTGTTGCCCCATTGCACTTTAAATGGATGCAATATAATAATTAATAACTATTACAGACAAAAATAATCTGAAAATCCAAGGGGTGTGCATTGTTCCCTGTAGTCCACTGATCAAAGCACACTTCACTAGATGTGCCTGTCTTATCTAGTTTTAAAGTTATTAACCCATTCATGTATTATCCCATTGCACATTATACGGATACCTTCGAACATTCAAAAATTAATTAAAAATCGTACGTAAAGCAATCTGGGAAATAAAGGGGTGTGCAACAGTCACCATGAGCCCAAAATGCTAAACCACCATGCCATGTGATTATAGCTGACAGGAACTATTATATTAGCTATTAACACGATTTTGCACAAATCACGAAATGGTTTGTAATAATCAGTGTGCATCGTTGTCTGTGTACTGGATATCAAGATTCTGACATTAAAAACGCCCTACCTTACTTCCGTTAAATGTTATTAAAGCCTGAAAACTGAATATTGAATATGAAGTTAACTTAACTGCAGTGCCCCAGGTAAACTTGACCTAGCCCCTCATCTTTTCAATAGCTAGAAACTTCCCTGGTCAGCGCGTTGGTGGAATAGCGAAAGTTACTGAACTGGATGGGTTGGTGACATTTTATGAACGCGAAATATGTGTTGCATACACCGATTCCTAATAAAAGTACACTATTATAGAACTACAAAGATGCAATTCCATGCTGTAAACTGGCTCCGGAGCTTCCCGCCATGATGCGATGTTCTGAAGCGTCATGGAGTGGGCGTGCTCAGATGGTTAAAGGCGTGTTCACTCCAAATTCCAGCTGACCAATAGACGTGTCAGCTGCTAAGGCCCGCCCACCCGTTAAAACAGTGCCAAAAGTCAGAAGCAAAAAAGCATTCCAAAAGCAAAAAAAAATTGCAGAAGCTAAAAAAAAAAATTCAAAAGCATTCCAGAAGCAAAACAAATTAGAGAAGAAGAAGGAAAAAAAATGATTTTAATCAACTTTTTTGATATTTGGAAAACATATTTTCATTCTGACACTTAATGATTTGCTTGCGGTTTTCAAAATTTTGATTAATACTTTTGGCACAAAATAAACTCCAAAACAATATATCATGCAGCCCTGAAATGATAAACTGTACTACTCCTAATATTATATCACACCACCGTAATGCCACAGTATGCAATGAAAGGCTTAAACTGAATGACAGTTAAGCAGGAGTAAATGGAAGTGCATGCGAAAGTGAAGGGGAAGTAGCGTGTGGCTGGGCGCACCTTGAAGGAGGCGGACAGGAAGGTGTACAGCTGGCTGAAGGTGGGCTTGTACAGCAGGTACTTGTGGGGGTTCTCCCGCTTGGCTGGTTTCTCGCTCGGCTCCTGCTGGGAAAGATAACAGACAAATAAACAGCGACATGTATCAAGCAAACATGGGAGTTACACAAACAGCATTAGATGAAATTTAAAGGGGCAATTCACGCCAAAACTGAAAAAAGTGTGTTTTAGAGGGACTGTAGTGGTATCTATTCAATTATGTTGTTCTGCTGGGAGCTGCCAAGTTTTGAAGATAACCGTCATAGAAATGTCAAGCTTCTCTCAAATATAATGGGAATGAATAGCATTCTTTTTGTACCAAAAAAAAAAATAAAAAATATATATATATATATATATATATATATATATATATGTGAATAATTCAACAGCAATGTCTCTTACCAGAAATCATGACCCGGTTATTGAAGATAATCCACAGACTTAAAAATAAACTGCTCCCCACAAACTCCACACACACATCATATTACTCATATAAGCACGAGCACCCCGTTGCCATCTTCACCATATCACTCATACAAGCACGAGCACCCCAGTGCCATCTTCACCATATCACTCATACAAGCACGAGCACCCCAGTGCCATCTTCAC